ATTTAAGGGAAATGATCATGAAATAAAAGGCATTCAGCCAATTTACTCAAAAATTGTCAGGCCTCACCTCCGGGATCCTCCGAGGTAGTGATAACATATCATCTACATTATAAATTTTCTCACATACTGTATCACAACCTTTTCCTAACTTTGGTGGTGTTATTGGGTTATGATAATTAGTTTCTAGGTATCAACTATTATTCTCAATCTCCTTGGCTGCCATCTTTCCTTCCTGCATTCGGTCATTGGATTCCCAAACTTTTTGTGGCGTTATTGGATTCCTCATACAAGTCCTTTTTTAGGCCATCTTCTTGCCAATCCCACTTTCCATTTCATCTACTACATCTCTATTAATCGAACACCCTTTACGTTCATTTATTACAGCAACAATAGTCAATGGGATCCTGTGATTCGTGTTTATCTGATAGGTGCCGAACCTGTGCAATAATAATTGCTAAAAAGTCTTAATTACCACCACAATTAATTATAGAACAAATCCAAGTACTGGAGCAAGAACCCTAGGTGTGCAATAGGTTACTTGATTCACCCTATTCCCGAAGAGTTTGTTTGATTCGATATACCAGATTTATCTATAAAAATATTAATTTTGCGTACAATGGCAAGTAGGGTCGATTCCACAGGGAGCGGGTAGGAAATTATTTCTTTCCAAATCAATAGAATGAAATCGGAGGATAATTAATGGGATGAAAATAAAAATGAAATAAATAAAATTCAAGAGCTAACTCAAACAAGTACAATTTCCTAAAAATAGCAATTAATAAAATTCTACCCAAAGGATCAACTACTCAGGCACGGTCCAATTAAATGATCATCGATGCAAAGATATTTCATCTATTCATCACTAGGTTAGTTATAGTTATCAACAAATTCTGACAACCAGTTCTTTCTTACTTTTTCGATAGTCAAGGTACGACCATTGACTGCTTCTCTAACCAGATAACAATCATAGGTACGACCGTAGGAATTTAATTACCCAATTACATTGAAACTAGAAGAGCCCAACCCTAACTAATAAACAGGCTAAGAGGATTTATTTAAGTTAGATCTTACGTTTCCCCAACATAAAACCAATTATGGTGGTTGTCACTAGATATCAACTAAACGAACAATTACGGATTCAATTTAGTTAATGTGACAGTAGGCTATTAAATTAAATCAAATACCCAACCGTTGATATTCAATTAATAAAATACCCATGAACAATTAATTCAGAAAACGCACAAATAGCAGCAAATTGGAAGAAATAATGAAGATTCGATTAGATCTCACAGATATTATGGACCGCGCCTTCGCGTCAACCTTTGGGTAGAGGAGAAAATTAGCTGCTCCTCATCATGTCAATTTCGCGTGATTTGATTAATATCATCCATACAATTGTCCAGAAATTAATTGTCAAGGAATTGGGGAAGGTGAATTAATCGAAAGAATAACAAAGGGAAACCTGGTTTCGTCTTCGTATTGGAGCCGCAATTACAAAGTAAAAGACTATTCTAATTGCTGCCGAAAAGAAAAAGGGAAAAAGCATTTGACGGTGAAAAGAAACAAAAGCTAGCCTAATTGATTGCTACCTAAAAGAAAAGCAAACGTTTGACAGATCTGGCAAAAGAAAACTAAAACTAAGGTATTGATATCACGTGAATCTAGCTTCTTCTTATTTGTAGTGCCGCCAGTAGTAGAAGTCCACCCGCAGCTGATTCAATTTATCCCACAAAAGCTAACCCTTTTGGAGTTTTAATCCTATGCATCTGGTCCACGTGGACTCAACCTTCTAATTGCCCACTTTAGCTGCTACCAAACCCGCGGGTCTGACTTTTGGATGAGCCTCCTCAGTTTCTGGTGTGGGCACGCCATAAAATAAAGAATCTTTTAGAAATTTGGCTCGTGAAAGCATTTTTTACACCAATCACCTATAATTTACACACAAATATCAAATATGAGTAAAATCTCAATTCTTAGCACCATGAGTAGCCATAATTAGGACAAAATAATGGTGCAAAGTGTGCAAAATAACCGCTCTATCAAATCCCCCCACATCTAAACAGTGCTTGTCCTCAAGCATTTCGGAACTCAGAAACACAATCAAGAAAACAAAGGTCATATAGTAATTTATATTAACATAGGCATCCCGCAACCCTGACAAGGTCGTCGAAATGAGAATGTACTGGACAGTCAATTTAACTACAGAATGTGCTCAGTAATACTCATCAATTTTAAGAGAATGTATAACCACTGGGAACACTCAAATCAACATCACAGAATGACATTACCATAGGTTTGCACATTTATCAAATCTCTACCACTCAAAAGTGAACCAGATACACTAATCAAAGGGACTTACATAGGGTTGTAATGGGGTTTAGGCAAAAGGTGGGATAAATGGTACAGATAGGGTCTAATGTATCAAGAAAATGCCCGATATTCACTTCACAACCACAAAGCTTTACCAGGGAATTTCACAAGCAAGCATTTCCATTTGCTATACCCACTGTGCAAGGGATGAATTTTACTTCTCTCTTTTTTTTTCTTCTTTTTTTTTTGAAAAGCAACCTTTGCAAGGCGTGGGCACGCCTTGTGAGCCAGAGTTGGCTGTTCACCATTTTGCTAACAATGTCTCCCTTTTTTTTCCTTTGCTTTGCTTCCGATCCCAGATGCACAGAAACAACACCATACAGCATCAAATCTGCCAACCAACACTTGCTACCATTGATTCCCTCGCCTTGAATAAGCCATGAATTTCAGACATCTCTTAACAACACAAGGAAGTCTAAAAAGTTCTCGGGGTTTCAAACATGGTTGGCAAACAGAAAGATGGATAAAAGCTCAAATTGATTCACTATTGAGAGATAAGATGAGGGCGTGGTTTGTAGATAGCTAAAGAAGGTTAAATCCTAAATGCCCTTATCATTTCAAACGCATCCAGTTCAACAAAATGTAGTCTCGACATGTATAAAATAGCAAATTCTAGAATGCCAATACCATGTGTAATACCCATTCAATCAAACAAAAATAGAGCAAATAAGAATAATATGCTCATATAGGGCTCAAAAACTCTCAGAAGTTTCAAGAATGGATAAAGTCCAGCATATTCAACATCTAACAACACTGTCAAGGGAAAACAAAATACATAGCTAGTATATCTAATCACACACTCATGCACTATGATTGTATAATTCATCATAGCAAACAAAAAGTCAACTAACTACCCTTTGTTTTTTTTTCTTCTTCTTTTCTGATTGTTCCCATTTTTTCTCTTTTTTTTTTTGAATGAAGGAAAATAATGGAAGTAGAAAGAAACAATAGCAACCATCCCCCCCCACACCTAAAACCTACATTGTCCTCAATGTAGCAAAGACAAATAAAGTGCAAGGACAAAGGGAGCGAAACTTCCCTGACTACTGAGATGGCACAGCGGGACCCTAAGGAGGGGGAGGATGTGGCGGTTGGAATCCAGTATGAGCAAAGAAAGCTGCCTAACTCTCTATTTGAATACGTGCGAAAACCTTCAGCGCTGCAAAACTGGGGTTCGCTAGACTTCACGCACAGGGAGAGTGAAGCAAAAGGGGAGGAGAAGACCAGGGGAAACTAAGACAAAAGAAATTGAAAAGACCAAACAAAACAATAAAGGAAACAAAGTAGAAAAGTGGGATTAGAGAGGATCCTGGTCCCGTTTGACTTTCGTTGACGCAAAGGTTGGAAGGCGTGGGCACGCCTTGGAGGTTATAGTCTTCTAACCATCGCGTCTCAATAATGTCTAAGAGATTCCCTTCCAAGGCGTGGGCACGCCTTGAAACTGATAGTCCCCCAACTTGCACAGTGCATCTGGCGTACCCCTGTAAGGCGTGGGCATGTCCTGTAAACCTTAGTCTTCTGTTAATCACAACAAAAATCGTTAAAATAGAAAAATAGAACTGAAAAATCACAAAGTACGAAAAATGATAACAACTAATATTGTAGTCCTTGGGTTGCCTTCCAAGTAGCGCATTTTTTTAATGTCTTTGGCTAGACATAGCACCACTCTTTAGTCTGGATGTAATTGAATTTTCCTTGTAATCGGTGGCCCTCCTCCGGGATCCACATGGCCATTGAGTGCAACTTTTTTCCTAAATTTTCTCTCCATTTTCACCTCATGAATTGCTTTCATCCTATGGTACTTGTTCGCAGCAACTTTGAATTTACCCCTACAAGCAAACTCAGAAAATTCTTGCACAGGGGAATTAGTGGTATAAATAGCAAATACAGAATGAGAATTAATAGGATGTTTCGTTGTATCAAAAATATTAAAGTGGACTATTTTTCCATAAAATTTCATCGTAAGAGTACCCTTCTAACATCAATTTTAGTTTGGGCAATACTCAAGAATGGCCTTCCTAATATAATGGGTGATGGATTTGAGGCACTTCTATCATCCATGTAAAGCACATAAAAATCAGCAGGAAAAATTAATCTATCTACTTGCACTAAAACATCCTCAACTATCCCATCCGGATAAGCACATGTACGATCAGCCAATTGAATTATTACCCCCGTTTCTTTTAAAGGTCCTAAATTTAGGGAATCATAGATTGACTTAGACATCACATTAATAGAAGCCCCTAAATCTATCATGGCATTCTTGATACTAGAATGACCAAACTTATAGGGAATAGTAAATAAACCTGGATCCCCGCATTTGGGTGGGAGTTTCTTTTGAAGTACAGTTGATACATTTTCTTCTACCATCACTTTCTCATCACCTCTTAGCTTTCTTTTGTTAACGCACAAGTCTTTCAAGAACTTTGCATACTTGGGTACCTGCTTGTTCGCGTCCAATCGGGGGATGCTTACTTGAACTTTGCGGAACACATCCAGGATTTTTTTTCCTTTTCTGCCCTCTCTGTCTTTTTCAACCTGCAAGGAAAAGGAGATAGATTAGATTTAATAGGGATCGAAGGAATAGATGTTACCTTAGGCTCTTCGCGAATACGCCATTCCTCTTCAATTCACTTTTCTATCGCCTCCTCACTTTTGCTTTTCGAATTTACCAATTTAAGTCCCTCCACCTCTTTGCCACTCCTTAGTGTCATGGTGCTTACATTTCTGGGATTGGTCTCGGGTTGTGATGGCAGTTTCTCATAAACGTGGGACTCCAAGCGATTAATAGCAGTTGCCATTTGACTCATTCGAGTCTCCATGTCTTTCATACTTGCTCTGGTGTCCTGCTGAAACTGCGTAGTATTCGTGACAAGAGCCCTAGTCTCCTGCTGGAGCTGAGTGGTAGTCGTGACCAAACTCTTGACAATTTCCTCCAAGGAACTTCCTGAGTTAGATGATAAAGGTTGTGGCTTTGGTTGCCATAGTTGCTGAAATCCTGGTGGACGATTGGAGAATGAATTATGTGGCCTATTACCATAGCTGAAGTTGGGGTGATCCCTCCAATCCGGATTGTACGTGTTGGAGTATGGGTCATACTACCTACGAGGCACGGACACATCTCCAACCATGTTCACTTGTTCAACTTCATCCTCTTGCAACAAAGGGCATGAGTCAGTGGGATGGCTCACATTTGTGTAAATTCCAAAGGCATTTGCTTGATGCATGTTTCCCATAGGTAATTGTTGTACAAAAGATGTCAGCTCCGATATCTGCTGTTGAATGAACGACGTCTCTACCTCATTGACTCTACGGGTATGGTTATTCTCACGGAAGCTAAACTGTTGAGAATTCTCTGCCATCGATTCAATGAGTAACCATGCTTCCCTTGGTGTCTTGTTTGCCAATGCTCCCCCACTCGCAGCATCAATGATCCTCCTATCGGACGCCTGGAGTCCCTCGTAGAAATATTGGATCAATAGTTGTTCACTAATTTGATACTGTGGGCATCTAGTGCATAACTTATTGAACCTCTCCCAATAGTCATATAAGAATTCTCCAGGATACTGCTTAATGCTGCATATCTCTCTTCTTAGACTTACAGTCCGGGATGCAAGGAAGAATTTTTCCAAAAATTTCTTCTTAAGTTGGGCCCATGTTGTGATACTACCTGCGGGTAGGTAGTATAACCAATCCTTCGTTGCATCCTTGAGGGAAAAAGGGAATGCCCTGAGTTTGATCTGCTCCTCAGTAATTCCTGGAGGTTTCATACTAGAGCATACCACATCGAACTCTTGGATGTGTTTATGGGGCTGTTCACCTGAGAGGCCATGGAAGGTGGGTAGGAGGTGAATTAATCCCGACTTCAATTCGAATGAGATATTTTCAGCCAAAGTTGGGAATGTGATGCACAAAGGCTGCTAGGGCAATTCTAGAGCAGTCAATTCCCCTAGTGTTCTCGCATTTGCCATAGGGATGTCCTCTTGGCCTTGGTCACTTGAACTATCACCACTTGAATCTGTTAATTCAATCTCAGGATCAAGTCCCTGAGATGTAATAGTAGATTGCTCCTCCCTGAGCTGTCTGGTTTCTTTCCTAGTTCGGCGTGAAGTCTTTTATATTTCTGGATCGAAAATCAATTCACCTGTACGAGAAGAACGAGGCATAAACTAAAAAAATGCCAGACAAATCCAAATAAAACAACTTAGAAAGAAACAAAATTAACCAAAACACCGTTCCCCGGCAATGGCGCCAAAAATTGACGGGTGCCGAATCTGTACAATAATAATTACTAAAAAGTTCTAATTACCACCACAATTAATTATAGAACAAATCCAAGTACTGGAGCAAGGACCCTAGGTGTGCAATGGATTACTTGATTCACCATGTTCCCGAAAAGTTTGTTTGATCCGAATACCAGATTTGTCTATAAAAATATTAATTTTGCGTACAATGGTAAGTAGGGTCGATTCCACAGGGAGCGGGTAGAAAATTATTTCTTTCCAAGTCAATAGAATGAAATCGGGGGATAATTAATGGGATGAAAATAAAAATGAAATAAATAAAATTCAAGAGCTAACTCAAACAAGTACAATTTCTTAAAAATAGCAATTAATAAAATTCTACCCAAAGGATCAACTACTCAAGCACGGTCCAATTAAATCATCATCGATGCAAAGATATTTCATCCATTCATCACTAAGTTGTTTATAGTTATCAACAAGCTCTGATAACCAGTTCTTCCTTACTTTTTCGACAGTCAAGGTACGACCATTGACTGCTTCTCTAACCAGATAACAACCCTAAGTACGACCGTAGGAATTTAATTACCCAATTACATTAAAACTAGAAGAACCCAACCCTAACTAATAAACACGCTAAGAGGATTTATTTAAGTTAGATCTTACGTTTCCCCAACATAAAGCCAATTATGGTGGGTGTCACTAGATATCAACTAAACGAACAATTACGGATTCAATTTAGTTAATGTGACAGTAGGCTATTAAATTAAATCAAATACCCAACCGTTGATATTCAATTAATAAAATACCCATCAACAATTAATTCAGAAAACGCACAAATAGCAGCAAATTGGAAGAAATAATGAAGATTCGATTAGATCTCACAGATATTATGGACCGCGCCTTCGCGTCAACCTTTGGGTAGAGGAGAAAATTAGCCGCTCCTCATCATGTCAAGCTCGCATGATTTGATTAATATTATCCACACAATTGCCCAGAAATTAATTGTCGAGGAATTGGGGAAGGTGAATTAATCGAAAAAATAACAAAGGGAAACCTGGCTTCGTCTTCGTATTGGAGCTGCAATTATAAAGCAAAAGGCTATTCTAATTGCTGCCGAAGAGAAAAAGGGAAAAAGCGTATGACGGTGAAAAGAAACAAAAGCTAGCCTAATTGATTGCTACCTAATAGAAAAGCAAACGTCTGACAGATCTGGCAAAAAAAAACTAAAACTAAGGTATTGATATCACGTGAATCTGGCTTCTTCTTATTTGTAGCGCCGCTAGTAGTAGAAGTCCACCCACATCTGATTCAATTTATCCCACAAAAGCTAACCCTTTTGGAGTTTTAATCCTATGCGTCTGGTCCACGTGGACCCAGCCTTCTAATTGCCCACTTTAGCTGCTACCAAGCCTGTGGGTCCAGCTTTTGGGTGAGTCTCTTTAGTTTCTGGCGTGGGCACGCCATAAAATAAAGAGTTTTCTGAAAATTTGCCTTGTGAAAGCACTTTTTACACCAATCACCTATAATTTACACACAAATATCAAATATGAGTAAAATCCCAATTTTTAGCACCATGAGTAGCCATAATTAGGACAAAATAATAGTGCAAAGTGTGCAAAATAACCGCTCTATCATTATCTTCGTCTCTAGCCTAAATATCTTCGCTTCCAATTCCTCTTGCTGGCCTCCTAATTTCATCATAGCCATCTGCACACCTCGCAATGCGTCAGCTGTTAATTGGTCTGCACAACCTTTTTCAGTTTTTTCTTCATCATATAACTTTCGGTCAACTACTCTCTCAGCCACTATAACATCAACCTACAATAACAAGCCAATTTTAGGAAACTTAATCGACATAAGTATATGATCATTGCATTTATTTTTTACGAAATCCTACCTCATTGCCATCAAATAATCCAGCACCTTGGAGTTCTATTATTCTGAATTTCAAATCAGTTTCAACCCAATACCAGATTCGTGGCATTGGCCTCATGCTCATTAGAATAGGCTTACATCTCCTCAAATTCACATGCTCTAAGTAGAATATCTAGCATCACAAATCGATACCAAGTTAGTTGCCAAAATGTAAATGCAACTCCAACTTTTAAACAGCAAATTGAGCTCACCATCAAGAAAACCATGCAGCCTCCCACTTCTGGAAATGGTTTCTCTACTCTGTTCGCTATGTCGTTGGCCAATTCATCTAAAACGTACTTAGACCAGTTTATCATTTCTAGTAGGTCCACCTTTGCCACCGCAGGAATTAGAGTTCTACTGATGCCATAGCCTATGGGTGGTGCCAGTAATCTACCTATCAAATATAGAACAAATTTCACTTTAAACTCTGCCCCACTGCTATCCAATTGTTGTATGTTCCTCCCCAAATTTACCAAACTGACCTGGTTTCTAGTAACATCTATATTTAGCTCCCTCTCAATTTTCTGGTCAACGCCATGTGTACTTACCATCAGTTGCATTCCATGACTTTTAAGTCCTAGAATGTACTCCACATCCCGTGGAGTAATCTGGGGGTTATATCCATGCACATTCAGTGTTTTTTTGCTTGCATCAAACCTCTCAATGAGCCATGACAACAGCTCCATATTTATGTCAAATTGATTAAAATGCAAGATAGATCCGAATCCTATGCTTTCCACTGCCTTGACCTGGTCATCATTCAGTCCCTTCACTATCTCCCTCACCATATACATCGAAGAACTGGTGCTGTATATTACCTGTTTAGATATATACGTAATCTCATCACTATGTCTTTTTTTTGCTACTGATAAGCATATTATTGTAATACTTGTAATTTTGCACTATTGTCTCACCCCTTTGCCTTCACTTCCCATTCCATCGGGACCTCCTCACACCTCCCTGCTAGCCATAGACAAGCCAAAAAAAAAAAATTTTTATCCCAGGTCCATGTCCATTTCCAAGTCCAAAATCAAATGGGCTTAGTTTCCATACTAACAAGTCTCAATTCTTAACCAAAAAATGCACCCAATATAACATAGAATGCTGTTTCATGCATTTACCATAACATAATCACATTGAAAATTTTCATTTTCCGCTTTTTCTTAGCCTATGTGAACATAAATAAGTTTCATGGATTTTCTATGATTTCTTCCCCTTTTCTTAGCCTATGCGAACATAATCAGGTTTCATGGATTTTCTACGGTTTCTGCCTTCAAATTTTTTCACACATACCTGTACGTTGGCCAAATCGATCCTTCACCTGGCCAATCTGCTTCTATTTTGGAAAATGCCGTTGTTGATCCACTCGTTCTCGTACTTGATTCACTCATTCTTCCATTCAATCCATCTATCAATTGTTCCTACCCATCTACTGCCATTGCTCTCTCGCCTAATCTTCTGTCAGGTTTACCTCTTGTGGAGGATGATTCATTACACCATTTTGGATGTCAATCTGGTAATTAAAATTTGCAGCCAGCCCATCTCACCTTCGGTCTCTTACTACGGTGGGGGTTTTCTTTGGCCTTAGGTCTCTTAGTGAGGAGGGAGTGTGAAGCGTAATTTCTCCAGAGAACTTGCCTATTCGCGTAGGAAGCCTCCTCAACTTTACTGAAGTGAAAATAAGGTTTTCAACTTTACTTAAGTGAAAAGTGAAAACTGAAAAGTGCACCTTCGGTCTCTTACTACGGTGGGGGTTTGTTCGGCCTTGGGTCTCTTAGTGAGGAGGGAGTGCGAAGCGTAATTTCTCCAGAGGACTTGCCTATTCGTAGGAAGCCTACTCAACTTTACTGAAGTGAAAATAAGGTTCAACTTTACTGAAGTAAAAGGTGAAAAGTGATCAGGTTCAACTTTTCCTTCAATTTCCTTTTACCGGTTTTATTATTACTTTATGTTTACTTGTCCCCACAATTTAGACTTGTCAGCTGGTATAACTTCAACTCAATACTTGTGTCGGTCTAATACCAATTGAGTGGTATCCAGTTGAGCATCGCCGAGATCTTGCTTGTACAGTTACCACACGAAATGTCATTGGAAATTTAAAATTTTGAAGCATCTTATTTTCCTCTTAAAGTTTGATGTCCATGACGATGATTAAATGTGGTTGGATGGATTGATGAATTTGAAGACACTTGAAGACAACGTGTTTATGCAGTCTTACAGACCCCCTTTGGCTGATTAATTTGGAATCTGGCAGTAACCAATGGTGGTGATGTTGAGGACCTAGGGAGGATCATCAAATTCAATGATACGACAACTTACTCGCACCAAACATCCCTTCGTATAACAAAAAGCAGCGACTTTGAGCCAAGGCATTGGTAAGTAAAGCAACTGCTTTTGTGTGTCGTACTCCTCATGTGCTGTGGTATGTAAGTGGACTATCACAATATCATAGACAAGCTCTCCCAGCGATATTGAGGTAAGTGATTCTAAGTCATTCCAAACTTGTTTGGAATCCAGTGCCTACTGCCTAGTGCCAACATTAGAGAGGTTTCCTAGCCTTTCTCGTCTTGTGTTATCGAGCCTTCATGGCTTGTTCAGCCTGGGGTGAT